TGTAATACGCGAGAGAGCGGGGCAGGTATATACGCGATCAGCTTTGTGGCTATCTAGAGCGGCCGCGAGAGAAAAAGAGCGCAGGGGAATATCAATTTCTTTTGATGCGAATGAAAGATTCTCCGAGCTCTACCGTTCGAACCTCTCTGTTGCACGATCAAAGAGAGCGGAGACGGTTAATTTCATTGGATGAGAGGCTAATGAAAAATTAATAGGAGCCAGGAAACCGTGCAAGTGCAACGAAAGCGATAGCGAAGCGGCTCGAGGCGTGCGCTCCGGGAAAAACCGAGCGGAATAGGAGGAAACGAGAGAGAAGGACACAGTGGAGGAGAAGGGAAAAGGATGGAGAGAGAGAGGAGGCACGTTAGCGGCCACGGAAGTCATAAAGAGCCAGCAAATCTTTTCATTATCGCTCCGCGTAAGTGATACGTATATCATACTAAAGCGACCATTTCACCGGCATTATATCCGGGAGGAGGCTGATCCAGCCTCTGCTCTGCTGGAACCATCACGGATGGTTTTCACGCCACGTTTTCGCGTAAGTGCGTACGAGGATTATGTCTGCTCGTTCTTTTTCCTTCGCCTAGAGATGCCGGCGGAGGGCAGTTTTTCTTTCGTTAACTACTACGATTGAATAGGATCGCGTACGCGATGGTATTCTATCGCTTCTCGACGGTGATTCGACCCGTTTACGACCCACGAGGAAGGGAATGGTTACACGTTGCTGGAAAAATATATATTATTACAGGGTTTCGTTTCTCTGAAGCACGTAGGCGCCATATAATTGCGAGTCGCGGCAACTTTATCGTCCATAGGGGCTGTTAACATAATGGGAAGCTTTACGGCGCAGAATTAATTCTTCTTTCGTGCAACCGAGACCGAACTTCATCGACCTTTCGTGTTCAGATAACATCGGGCCTCTTCGCTGGGAGGACGCTCGTCCCTGCTCTGCTCAATTAAACGTATTAGATCCGCTTGTCGTGCATGCGCTTTTCGTTTCGTGTTCACCGTGCATTCGACAATCTCTCTCTTGCTTTTTACGGCAATATCAATGTTCACCGGCAAATACGTCGCTTATCTTATTACGACAGCATTTTTTTTATTCTACCTTTGATGGACAAATCGTTCCTTTTTGCTTGCTCGCTTGCGCCATTATTTCCGCTCGTACGTTAAATCATACTTAAGTTTCTCCGCCGCGCGACGACCTTCCACTCTATTTCCACCGTCAGCTCTTACTCCGGAGATCGCGCAGGGTCTTCGTAACGAGCCCCGTCGAGCATCGAGCCAAGGAAAAATTGAATTCCTGAAATTTCCAGGCTGGAATTTTTTAATACGCGCCTCTCGCAAATGTTGCGCGTCTCTCCCGTTCAAGGTCTTCCTTCGGGAGACTTCAAAGAGAGCCTCGACCGCCGCGGAATTTCTCTTCGACCGATGTGTAACACGCCAATTCGGAATTTAATTGAACAACCACCGGCTCACTGGGCATTTACAAGTGCACCAACGATTACTTCCAATCTAGAAGAAAGTTAGTAATATGTTCCTGTCGGGGTGGATCGAATTTATCACACGAAAAAGCTTCCTCTGGCACACCAAAGCGACGAGCAGCACAAACATCCTTCACCATTTGCAACGATCTAAGTAACAGCATCGTCGCGCAGAAGATCGGATAAACAACCGTGGAAAAGATGAAAAATCTTTGTTAAGCAGTTCGGTTGACAGAGGCTCGGAACGGCGCGTTGTTGGTCGCAGACATTTTTCTTCGGTCGATTTAAACGCTGTCTACGCTGTGAAGGGTGTTCACGCGAGCCACGCGACGTCGCGCCACCAGAGTTTCTTTTCCTCGTTTCGCTGTCCTCTCTTCCTCGTGGATTTTATTTATCGCGCGATACCGAGAGACGGGCGAGTAAATCCGCCGTGCCTCGAAGCGGATCGCGGACGAAAATAAAGCGAGCGGCGTGCCGGTCGAGCGACACCTTGGTTTTGCTGCTCGTGCAACGCGACGGATTCTCTGAAGGCCTGGTCGTGTGGCACGGGTTAAAGGTCCGGTCGCGGTTGAACGACTCGATTTCTGGCTTCTACCGACGAGGCTGTTTGTCGCGGGACAAGTCGACCGCGCGTTCGCGCTTTAATCAGCCCTGTCCACTCTCTCTCTCTCTCTCTCGCGGTGCTCGTTTGCTGTTCGTGGAAATGTTAATGGCTGTTCCCTTGTTATGGTTCCCGTGGTTTCGCCGGGATATATGCACGCGTTCGAAATACTTTGCCTGTTCAAACTTACGGCGTGCATCTTTTATTCATCCCCACGATTGTTGGACTTTAAATGTGTTCGGCTGGAATTCGCGAAATTGCTGTTTTTGTGGGTTGGAGTAAAAGCGACGTGTTTTTGAAAATAATTGTGTTTGTTTACCGGAAATTTGCATCATTAGTATTAATGGCCTTTTCTCGAAGGGCTGCCAGCTGGTATATTCAATTTTTTCTTTAATTTTATGAATTCTTTACATATTCGTGTGGGCAGAGTGTTTTAAATTCTTTTGGAGACATCATATTGTTTAAGTAGAACAGATAAATCCTTTAATAAACAAGGGGAACAGAGGAGCCTATGTACCACTCAACTAACTTCTGTACGATAGAAATCAAAATTTGTCACTCTGACCTAAATTCACCTAGCAGTTGTAAATCTACACATCCTCTAAAAGTGAATCCACCTTCGTTAAAAAAACTCGAAGAATTAAGTCGTCGCTAATAGACAAGCCCAGTCATACACGGTGCATTACAACGAGAACGTCTAAACTACACCTAGAATCACACTGGCAACCTTCCAAGCCGTATGTTCGCGCAGCTCTGGTAACCACATCCACCCCTCGTCGGTGTAACGCTTGCCGCCGAATATTAGAGCAAAGCTGAACAAGTCGAAGATTTAATTCGGTGTGTCGAACGGTTTGCCCTGCTGGCACGTACCTACCTAAAGATGATATTCGTCTTCCGTAATATCGTGGGATCGGGAAGTCGAGAATGGGAGAGCGTCGAAAGCGTCACCTGCAGCACACACGCGGGCCACCGAGCTCTAGCCAGCCATCTAGATGGCTGCAGAGGCTAGGGGGCGCGTTTTCGATGAGGCTCGAACACGATCGATCGACTTCTCCTGAATCATGCGGGTGTCTGGTGCGAGCCACGCGGAATATTTCACCGCGGTCGTTGGAGCTAGGACGAAACGAAAGAGCGCCACTTAGGTGGGGGGTAATATACGTCGCCGAGGGCGGTAACTGTCCCCGTATATTATGTCCCGCGTGTCCACGGGGACATACATTCCAGCCGGCTGTATTCCACGGTAAACAATGTTCCGAGAGTAGTGCCTAAACGATTCCTCGTGTCTGCAGTTATTTTGGCAATTAATCGCCGGAGCCCCCGCCGCTGAAATATCGCCTTTCTTGCTCCACGAGTTTTTCATTCCCTTTTGCTTCATTTCTACTCCCTCCCTCTTTCTCCTCTGATTTTTCCCCTATCCATCCACTCGAGGACCCTCCTCCGCGAGTAAGATGACGAAGATGACGAAGGCTTTTAACGATCGTTCCTCTTCTCCTCTCGGTCCTTCTCAGCTGGCACGTAACCACAAAGTTTCTCGGTCTTTCCAGATTCTTTCCTACCTTCCTTTTTCTCTCCCCCAACCCCTCCCTTTCGTCGATATTCACCGGTGTAGAGATCAAGATTCTCTCCGTCAGACTCCATCTTCCTTTTCGCCAGTTTCCTTTTTGTTCTCTCTCTCTCTTCGCCGTTCTTGATCCAACAGCGGTTACTTTACAAACGGCCAGCGAACCAGGGGGTATCTCTTCTCTATGTGACAGGGACTCGACGAAGTTTATTACGGATTTCGAAAAGCGTCTTTCCAGCACGGACTTCAACTTCCTCCCGAGAAGTTTACCGGATGGTGAACAGTGAAGTCGTTTGTATTTTCTTAAGAACGTCTTTTTTCTTCGTTAGCCGAGTCCAGACTCGAGTTTCTCCGGGGTTTAAAGGAGAATTAAACAAGGTTCAAAATCGCCGGTTATTACGTACGCGTCGAAAAGACGATTGTTGCGCTTTTCATGCCCGAATCGTAAATCTCCGAGGTTCTCCTCTGCTTTACGGGTGTTCGTCTCGAGAACCGATAAGCGTGCCGCTGGTTTTACTCTCACGCGCCGGGGAAGTTGAAATCGTAACCCGGACTCTCGATTGCGAACGCTTTTATCCGAGCTCAACAGGATAATGTCAAACGAGCCGAGTACCTTGGTTTCTCGTGGACCAGTTCAAACAGTTTTACCGTTCTTCTATGTACAATTCCATCGAATTCACTTCTTTTAAACAACTTCTAGCAGAGCTTCTTCTTTTCTCGTTAGACCTAACGCCTACTTAAAGTTCCGTGTCGTTCGTTATTCCTACCGCTGGATTTCAAGCGTCTACGTAAACTGTACTCGAGAGAAGGTACTGCTTTTCTTCGGGATTCATATTTAAAATTCCAACTAATTTCCCGTGGTGGAGGACGATCAGTCTTACTTTACGAGCCGGCTCCCTGAACCGGAGCCGTCTTCCCAATAAAACGATACCCACGATAAACCTTTCGAAGCCAATTAGGGACTAATTGATTTTAACTGTAAATCTACGAGCCTCCTTGTCGGCCGGTTCCGCGGGATTGCGGTTAAGACGGAGACGGGAATCTCTGCCAAGCGGCCAGTTGTTCCCGATAAATTTACGATGACTGAACTCCCTTTTCCTACTCTCGTTTTCTTCTGTTTCTCGCGTTAATGAGACCCGATCTCACGCCGCGCCATCTGTCTCACCGCGATCCCTTTTGTCCCTCCGCCGCTCTCTTCCACCCCCGTCTTCCGCTTCTCGTATCGACGTTGCGGAAAAGGTTATTATTAAACACTCGCCCCTCGATCCTCCTTTAACCTTATTAAGAAAACGGTTGACTAATGGGCGAGTGAAAAGGAGGTGAGGGTTGTCTGAATTTTTTCAATTCTTCCTTGCCAATGAGCTTTATTGTTCGAAACAGTGCGTATAGAATAGTACAGTAAGTAGGATTTATCTCGCTACTTTCGGGTTAACTTTGGGTGCCATTTTCGTGAGGTTTTCCATTGTTCGATGTCCTCTGACTATATAGGTAGATCGAAGGAGTGAGAATTAATGAGTGAAAATTCGAATGAAGTATAGAATACTCACTGCATCCTAGATAAGGTACACAGACTTGTCCCTTGCGACAGTCGACATCCTTCTTGCAATCGTCATGCGTTTCCCGCTTCCGTCGGCTGTCCGGGATCTGTAGTGTGACTACGTCCGACTCGTCCTGTCGTTGATAAAAAGGACGAAGCGGAGAAAAAAAAGAAAATTCGTCACTGACAGAATTCGCCGTTAGACGCCGCAAGTTTCGATAAACGTTTCAACGTTCGGGTATCTCTAACATTTCTACTCCATTGCTCACATTCTTTCGTTACTTTTTTATCTCTCCAACAACGAAGCTTCTTTCGAAGAGAGAGAGAGAGAGAAAGAGATAGCGGGGTTCTTTAATACCTCCAGAGTGATATATTAGAAAAGGATCGATTCGGAAGCTTCTTTTACTCACCGATTCTCCACTTGGTTCTCCTAAGCGGATCACGTGAACCTTCGGCTCGTCCTGCGGGCGAAGGACCAACCACGATTAGAACATGATCGCGATTTACCAGAAACGATTGGACTACGCGTTTGTTCGGTATTGCAAGCTCGTATCTTCGTACCTTGTCGTCCTTGATGATGCACCGTGTCGCCGTGACGACGTACACGAGCAACAGGATCAGAAATAGTCGGCTCATCCTCGATTACACTCGCTTCGTAACACACGCTCTCTCGGAGACAGTTCACCTGCTGTAACACCGGTTACTCCTTATATGGGGAGAGAACGCGTCACCGTTTGTCGTAAACCTAGATCCATTATCGTTGCAAACACCAATTAGCCTGACAAATTAATCGTGCTTCCTCGAATCGTCGTACGGTTGCCTGTGTGTGTGCGTTTTTACGAGGAGGATGTGTTTGGATTGTACGGGTGGAAGAAGGATGCAGGAGATCGTAAAGCACCGTTAAGGGGGAACTGGTCGCGATCAGTTCATTTTCGCTGGACGGTCTTTATCTAAATTGGAAAAACAGAATGACCGGCGGAACGACAGTTGCGTTTCGGTATTTACGAGCCGTCGTCAGAAATGCGCTGTAAGCCTGTAACAAACCGAGGACGGATTCGATTGTACGCGATATGCCGGTGCTGTTGAGCTGTTTCGTTGAGTTTCGCGTGGTTGGGCGAATTTTGAAATATACGTTCGTACGAGAAGTTTGTTCGTACTACTCAATCACGGAAAAAACGCAAATCAGTGTCTTCAATGTGTGAAACGTTAAAGGTAAATAAGAAAAAATTCGTTTGAGTGGTACATTGAAGAATCGTCAGGCAAATCTACGTCCCCAATTTTCAAGTTCGTTTCTTAGTTAAGGAATTTCTCATCGCACACTAAACAGCGACAGAAAGACACAAATTCTCCAGCGTGGGAATGGTTAAAGAAAAATTTTAAAAAATTCTACACTGGAGAATCGCCGGGCAAACCTACGTCCCCAATTTTCAAGTTCACTTCTTCATTCAGAAAGACACAAATTCTCCAGTGCGTGAATGCTTAAAGAAGAACAAAAAGACTTCGTTCGAGTGATACACTGGAGAATCGCCAGGGAAACCTACACTACCGGCCAAAAGTTTGGAATCACCTCCCACTTTTCATCAATATTAAACCTGCTGCTAATTTTTCATAGATTTGAAGTTTATCTCAATTCTACATTTACCAATTAATCTCATGTCAATTGATTCGAACGATAAAAAATTCTCAAAGTCGCTGACCTTTTACTGGAAATTTTTGGTGTAAATTGCAATGCTCAGTGATTCCAAACTTTTGGCCGGTAGTGTACGTCCCCAATTTTCAAGTTCACTTCTTAATTCAGAAAGACACAAATTCTCCAGTGTGTGAATGCTTAAAGAAGAACAAAAAGACTTCGTTCGAGTGATACACTGGAGAATCGCCAGGGAAACCTACGTCCCCAATTTTCAAGTTTACTTCTTCATTCGGTACTGACTTAATTCACAAAGACACAAATTCTCCGGTACACGAAAGGTTAAAGAAGACCAAAAAGAAATTCGTCGGAGTGATACATTGGAGAATCGCCAGGCAAAGCTACGTCGCCGCGAGCATACACGCTATAAAAGTAGCCCTGCCTCATCACGAGCCTCCGCTTTACGCTGTGCTTTACAGCCCTCGAAATTAATTATGCATGCTCCAGTGTAGCCATCGTTCTATCTCGGATACGGCGCGCGATGCTTCCGCTATTGGAAGTTGGCCAGTCCATTCGAACGGACTACACCGTCCGTGAATATGTCCGGTAGATTGACGGAGGAGATGCGCGTCGTCGTAAGAGAAGGAAGAGAGAGAGAGAGAGGTTTCTCTCGCGTTTGCACAGCCGCGACGTAGTCGTGGAAGTTGAGGACGACTCGAAACTAGCGGCCCTCCGACGGACACTCAACGTGACCGGAGGTCCTTTGTTCGCTTGATTACCGAACACCCTGGAAACTAGTCATTAGCTGGGCAAATAGAGAAGTCCGTGGCGAAGCTAGATGCCGTTTGCCAGGCGTTCGCCTGCGAATATCCGCGATGCGTCGCCTCGTTAACTAATTGAACTCGCTATTCATTTTGCTCGCGGACACACTCGCCCCCGTCTAATGTCCTCGCGATTTGTTTCACTCTGCCGCTCCGGCGACGTGCTCCGCGAATTCGTGCAACCTTCCGCTCGAAGCTGTTTTATTTGCACGGGAAGGAACGGTGTTCGGATCGTATGGAACAAGGTACAGTCAGTCACGTAAGACAATACCGGAGATATTCGCACCGGGCGACGTGTACAGCGAATATGGACGTTTCTTTTGGAATTTTCGCACGTCCCTCGCATGTCGGGTAAATAGAATTTTCGAGGGTAGAGTGCTCTCGGTGTGAGCGTTCTTGAAAGTAGAAGAAGGGAGGTGTCCCGTCTACCAGGTGTCGAAAATTAAACATTCACCTGGTAGAAACTTTTTAGACGAAGCTTACTTAACTCTTATGTCAATAACCAGAATTATCGTCTACTTTATCTTGAAATTTTAGTAGCTTTCTGATAAGAAAATTGGAAACTCGAGGCAAACACGGATAGGAAATGTGCGATATAAGAACGATCTGGCCGGATATTTCAATCTTTCGCCTGGAAGATGAAATGTTTCAAGTGAGAATTATGCAAAGGGTTAAATAAGAAACAGCGTTCCGGAAAGAGAGGAAGTAGAAGAAAATTCGAAGATCACCGGGCGCAATCTCCTCCGTCTCGAGGAGGAGGCGATTGCGCGGGAACAATGGCGTCGATGACGTTGACCATGTAAAAGACATGCATCTTGCGAAATTCGAGCGCAGGTATCTGACTAGCTGAAAGCGGTGCCGCGTAATACTCCCGAAAAGTAGTCCAAGTGAATAATGACTCCGTACAACATATCTTTTACCTGGAAGATCAAATATTTCAAGTGAGAATTACGCAAAATGGTACCCGGTTATAGACGTGAGAGTTAAAGAAACAAAGTGCTATCGGAAAACGTGGATAATTCCGAGATCGCTCCAGTACACTTTGCACACGGTCTCGTTCTCTTTACACCGATTAGCAAGTCGAATCGTAGCTCGATCAAGTTAGGAAGGATGATACCCGTAAAGAAGAATTCGCGTTTAAACGAAGTAGTAGAAGCCCGATTAGACAGAATTCCAGCGACGTGGCTGGCACGTCTAAAAGCGTAAGGTCCCGACGAAAGAGTTGGTGAAACGGTGCGCAGCTCGGTAATCCCGCGCGGAAAAAGAGAAGCAACTCGACGAGGGGGAAAACGTAGGACGGAACGGATGAAACGACGCTTGGCGATACAACTGTTAAACGGCGTCTCGGACACGCGTGAAAATAAATCGAGGTAAAAGTCGTCGAATTCAGCGAGATCGTTCGTCGAGCCGTTTATATTTAGTTCATGAAACTCCTTTACAAACGATATACCCTCTCCCTTCATCCCCCTTTTCCCCCCTTCGGTATCCGACAAATTTTCATCGCATTGTATCATTGTATCCCCCCCGGTTCTCTGTGGAAAGAGAGCGCGTTAATCCATGGAAAATAAGATTCGTCGTCGATCACGCCGCGGATTAACGTTTCACGCGTTCAACGGCGAAAACTTTATTCGATTCGGTCAGATCGAATAATAACCGGTTATAATTTCGACTGTCGGCGTAATCCGGTTCTGGCCATGCGGGGGGGATTATAAGTTAAAATTTTACAGACTGATTACCAGGCGGCGCGGAGCAGCAAATTATTTAATATTGATACGCTCTGGTGCAATCCACCCACACACAGTGTGCGTGTGTGTGCGTGTAGCGCGGAGGTGGAGGAGAGAGGAGGAGGCTATTATTGATATTGATTTCGTTGGAAGCGTGTGTAGAGGCTAGGCACTGTTCGAATCGTGGGAAAGCAGCTTAACTGGAACGATTATCTCCCCAGTCAAAGAGATAGCGACCAGCATTTCACGATGCACTTACGTAACGATTAAATCGCGTACATAGGCTGCGAGGATACGTACGAGGCGCATTGTTGACGATGAAACTAATGCGGGACGGAGATTGGGAGGAGGATTCCCTCATCAGGGTCGGAAGCCATCGGTTACGCGTGCTCCTTCTCCATTTACGCACGATATCTCGCTGCTCTAATAGGTTCACCGCCTTGCCTTACGGTTTATCGATGCGTCCTATCGAAGGAATACCCTTTAATTGTCCTTAATCTGTATCAAGGCCGGAACGGATCCTGTTTTCTCCGAGTGTGCGTACCACTTTCTCTCCCCCCCGATTCCTCGCGGTCAACGGAGTAATTGATAGCATTAACTTCTTTTTCGTCCTCGGATACCCCACGAGCACGATAAGCGATTATCCTCAGTTTCTTCGTTTTTATTTGGTAATGGACCGTGCGCACCGTTACGCATACTCTTTTTCCTCTTGTTCTCGCTCTCGAGCGGAGCCAGCCAACCTGTTCCGCGACTCGGAAACAGAGTGTTTTCTATTAAAACCTTGTACTGGAAGAGAGGAGATTTCCCTGTTTAATGGTAGCAAATGAACAGCGAATAGTTCGAACTTGATTGGCTGAATTGAAATTTTCAATATTTTGAATTTCATTGGTTTAACGTCGAATATGAATAATTTCGCAAGAAGATCGCATGAAATGAATTTTGGCCAGCGTCTCGAGAAACGTTGTGCGTCGCCTTTGGAAAACAAAGTAGCCCCGTTTGGGAACACGTTCGCCACCCTCGTCGTGCCTTTCGCTCGCAAGATATACAGACTAATTTCGGCGAGGCGTCTCTCGTGACGTCTCCGGGGAGCAATGTGGGGCCCCGAACGAAACCGTTTGCCGGTTTGTGGCCATTCAATTCTATCCGTTTATTCGGCCAGTCCGCAGGGGATGGGCGCGAAGCTTCTAATTTCCCCGTACGTTGCTCGATTGCCTTTCTCACGTTAACAAGACGTTACTTAAACCCGTCGATGAACGAAATTACCAAAGCGAAATAAACCCCCGATTATTCTCGATTCTTCCACAGTTTCAGCTTATTATCCTCGCGAATTCTCGTAGATCACGCGAAATACGAGACACTCGGGGACACCGTAAATATACGCGTGCACCGTAGCCGTGTGCTAGCCAGTTCGTGACTTAATCTGCAAGGGTATCTGGCCCGTTACGCCGTTCTTGGATTTACGAGCCGATTCTGGTCTCGTGCTTTTAGATCTTTA